ATAAAGTGTAGGCATCCCCATGTTTGCGCCTCAAATGGCGACGCTCCTTTCCAGCGGCAGACACACAGATTTGACAATCACGTCTGAAAGGAATATGCCCCCTTAGGCAATGGTCACGGAAAGCTCGCTCCTCAGCTGTCAACCTCCGTAACGTCCCTTCTCGTTCTTCCTTTTTTAACACCATAGCTTCCCGTTCAGCATCGCTCTCATGCAACCATTGTGCCAACCTGTGACGTATTCTTTTAACCAATCCAAACGCCCATCGCGCCCATATGGAGGATTGTCCAATACGCTCTTCCAGGGTAGAAGCGAATGTTGCTGACCACGGAACAACCACGCGAACCTGTTCCAACGATTCCCATAGTTCCATATCAGACACCAGGAAAGTCGTAGGTTTCACCAGAGCATGTCCCAATGCTCCTTGATCAAAATGTGCAGCGTGCATTCCATAACGCTCACAAAAGTTTTTCACCTCCGGCCAACTCCAGAAGGTAGGACTCGAGAGCCCTTCCTGAGAACCATCCACCAGATCCTCAGCACTCAAGACCGTCTTGCCGTTCTGAGAGAAATCTTTCCCTATGAGTTCAGGGTCCCCAGGGCTTTCCATGCCAAAGAAGACAGAACTTCCATTGATGACTTCAGCAGTTCCACACCTTGAATGCACCGCCACGTCATATAGGAAAAGCATCTTCAGAAGTAAAACACCATCCTTTTGAGCTAATTCTTGATGTGGCCAAGGAAGACTTTTTACTCCCAACCGTTCAGGCACAGCGCCGGCGTAATACAGGTGGACCACCGTCTTCACCTCTCAACCTTGACACTGTCCTGCATGGAGGTCCTCCAACCACAGCAACCACCTTTCCTTCAGCCGCCAGATGCAGAAGATACTTCCAGACGCTCGAATTATGTAGGTCACCGCCTTTTGTCAAATCCAGCTCCAGTACCTCCACATCCCGACTGGGAAAATGCCATTTTTGTTTTCCCGAAAATAGGTGTACCACCACCCTTTTTGCTCGTGCCAGCCGTCTCCTTTTATGACGGTTGAAAGGCAACGCCGCAATATCTCCACGTGGCAACAGCTCCATCAGCATATTTTCTGGTATATCCCCATAATACCACCGAAGAAATCTCCAGCATGCCTGGACGAACTCCTCCTCATTCGCTGACGCTGTCCGCGCTGCGCTTTGCAACGACGTTTTTACAGCCACCTCGTTGTCCGTATTCGGACACCCTTGAACCATACGTGCCACCTTCAATGCTTGCTTTGGTGAACACCAATCCATTTCATCAATGATCTGAAGCGCCGCCTCCTTTTCTAAACAAGGGCACCCATTCAGATCACGAACGCGAAGTTCCCCCAGAACAGGATGTGAGGCTGTGCACTTGCCACCACGCCACTGAACTCTGAGACCAACCAAGGCGCTCGCTTTGCCAATTGGCACTAGTGGATCTACCATTTCAGGAGTTACCAGGGTCCCACCTGGGGTTATACACATCTCCCGAGATCCAACAGCTAAAGACACCAACACCTTTTGCTGCGGAAGCTGTTCTCCAGGACGAAGTGATCTGAGAGGATGTGATGCTCCCGAGTCCAACATGCCCATTCCCGAACACTCATTGGTGTCAGAAACCCTGGCCACATGTAGAACGCATACTCCTCGGCCTTCTCCCTGCTTCGGCAACAACGTGGCATCCGACGAACCGACTCCACAGTCCGCCCTTCCATTCCTCCATTGAGAATGGGACCAAGACGCACGCTGCCTTTCAGCATGCAAAACCATTTTTTCAGCTGTTTTGTAATCCATAACCAAACAGCCATGTTCAAACCACAAGAGCTGGTCCAGCGAAGATTTTGCACCCACGTGACACATCCCATTGATCACAGTGAGGTTCGCCCCAAACTCCAAAATCAACCAGAGAGGGATAATCAGGGGCCCATTGTCTTCCCTAATCAACGTCCCTTTCTCTGTAATCCTCATTGTCACACCACCAAGCGCGCTTTGCACCATAACAGTAGTGTCGGGTAAACATTCCCATGGAAAAAGCGTCCGCGCAAGATGCGTAGCAGCTGTATCCACCAACGCCACTCTCCCTTCCTGCTGAAACAACCCAGAGCCACATAACATTCGAACACTGGGATCCCCGCTTGATGCTGACTGTGCTGATGACAGCTTCATAGATTTCAGCACTTCCAACGCTTCAGCAAGGACCTGATTGGGTGTTGATGGTGATGAGGGACTTGCAGAACCTTTATCCAATCCCGCATTAGCCGTCTCATCTCCCCCTTCAGCTACCTCTGCCTTTTTGGCATTTCCCCATTTCGCACCTTTGCCGCCTTTTCCCCCCTTGGGAGAATTCCCTTTAGATCTACTCCTCTCAGGGTTTGAGTCCACATTGGAACTTGCACCATCCTTATTTGGACATTGCGGCTGCAGATGGCCAACGGCCCCACATTCAAAACATCTTCCTCGCTCAAGGGAGTCTTTGTCATGGCGAAATTTGCAGCGGGATCCGAACTTGCAACCTGCATCGGTCTTCCCATATATCCAACAGAAAGGACGTTCACCATCTCCGCTGTACCTTTTTCCTTTCCCTTTGCCTTTGTCACCCTCCTCCGTCTCGTCACCAGTTCCCTTTTGGGCCTTGTTTAACCTGGCCCTTTTCTTGGCGTCCGAGTCCTGCTTCACCTCTTGTTCACCAGCACTATGCAATCGCAGTTCAAACTCTGCTTGTAACATTTCAGCTAGTTTTGTCGCAGTTTCAGAGGTCGGCGAGTAGTCCACCCCCAATTTCTCCCGAAAGGATGCCACTCTGAAATGAACCGTAGGGTGTTTCGCCAGCAACGCGGATGATAAACCATCCAATCCCTTGATAAGCAAGGTAGCGTCCGGCTCGGCCGCTCTCAACTCCCTTAATCGGGAACGCCATTGCGCCCATTGACGCACTCCCTTTATGGCCTCTGAGATCGAGGTTGCTGGAGATGGTTGCACCAAGAAGTTCAACATTGTGCTGCGCTCATTTGCTCCACCTGGTTGGTAGACCGTCAGCAATTTGTAAAATATCATCACTGACCCCAACATTCGAGTGGAAACGATCTCGGTCCTCTGGAGTGGTGGACGCAAACACTGCATATCCTCTAGGAATGACTCCAGAGAAGCAGTACCTGCCAGGACAAGTTTTCTACACGGATGGTATGGGTGGTTTTTGGACTGTGTTGCCGGATGGGACATGGCTGCCTATTGAGGGCTACGACCTGCCAAAGGGTTGTGATCTTCAATCCTTGCCTGGGTCCAGGAAGGGGGATGTTCAAGTGGAGGATGAAAAAGAAGTGCCGATGATGCATATAGCTGAAGGGAAGAAACCCTCCAGATTGCCTCCATTGAATTACCCCACGGGAGGTCCTGCAAGTGGTGGATATGCAAGTGGACCACCTGGTTTAACACATGTTCCGATTACTTCCGTGCCGTCAGGTGTTGATGGTTCTGCCGCACCTGTGGGGAACCAGCCCGGTTTTGTTTCAGCTCGGGAAACTGCAACGCAAGAGAACCCAGCAGGATCGGGTGGATATACAATGGTGGATGATGTTCCGTATCGGTGGAAAATGGTCGCTGGGAAGTTGGAATTAGAAAAGGTTCCGCTCACAGCTGTTACGCCTGGTATAGGACATGGACTACCTCAAGGGCCTGGTGGTAGGGTCAGTTTACCTCCTGGAGCAGTGGTGCCACGTGGTATGCCAATCATTGGTGATAGTTCTGGAACCGAACGTCCGGAGGCTCTTGGGAAGCATGTGATGAGCCTTCCAACTTTGGCAGACTACACACCAAGCAATCCGACGGCACTGGGTGATTGGATCGCAATGATCGAACCAATGTTGTCTTCGCTGACAGATACAGGAAGAGTGTGGTGGCAATGCGTCTACTCAAAGGCATATCAAGCGTATGCCAAATGGTTGAGTGTTTCTCCACTGGAAAGGTTGGGCATCAAGGCTGAGCTGGAAGGGCTCAAAGTGGTTCAAACTGTGCATGTTTTGTTGGAGCAGAGAGCGGTGTCTTTGCTGCTACAGGCGATTCCGGAGAGATTGAACTCCGTGCCCTTGAAGCTGACCCAGATGCAGCAGAGGTATAGCTTTTCTCCTCCACCCGATGCAACCTGTTCCCCAGCTCCTTTGTTTGCACAAGCAACTCTTTCAGCGCACGCTTTACCACCGCCATATCTTCACTTTGTTCTTCACCACCAACATCAGGAATGAGCTCTTCGTCGGCTTGCGCTCCACCAATAGTACCTCGTTCCATCTGGCCCATTAAGCCTGACGACGGTTTTTCAACAGGTGCAGGTTCCTGACCCAAAAGATCTTGCAGCGAAGGCGGCCTCCTCGTACCTTCACCACTTCTATCCCCTCCGCTCGCAGGAAGACTTGCCGGCCTTGATTGCCTCAGTCTCATTTCTTCTTGAGCCCGCTCGCTCCAGAAAGGATTTGCTGCTGGAACCGGAACCACTTCATTTTCCACCTGAGACGTTGGTTGTATCATTGCAACCTCCCTACCATCTGTCAGCGCTTGTACCATTTGTTGTCGATCTTCACCCCCATCACCACGATTTCCTTCGGCTTCATTGGCCGTTGGCGACAGTCCAGGCTCAGAGCGACGCCGCATCATGTCCATGGCGTTAAACAAACGAAAAATCTTTACCTATTCCGCAGGAAGCCTAATTTGGGCTCATAACCTACGGGGGGCAACCGAAGGAGGACAGGGAACAAAACAGTCAACCCCAACAGAAGCCCTTGATCCCCTGGACCGACCAACACCAAACCCAGAAAGACACTTTTCCTCAGGGCGCATTGCCCAAGTTCTTGAGCCAAAAATTTGTGCCGGGTACATTGACCCCTTCACCTCCCAACACTAACTCCTTTCTACAATACCAGCTGCAGCTCCGCACCCTAAACCCTAAACCCCAAACCCCGAACCTGCCCCCGCAACCCCAAAGCCCTTCTGAGCCGGCAGGTTTGGGGGAAGCAGCTTGGCGAGATCCACCGGGAGGCCCGTCTTCCCTACCGGTGCCAAGTGGACATTCTAGGGTTTAGGGTTTAGGGTTCAGGGTTTAGGGTGGATTTGGGAGCAGCTTGGAGGTTTATGGAGTGGTGTTTGTTCTGAATTAGCTCGGGTGCATTCGGGGCTTTTGCTTCATCAGCCTACCGAAAATGTAAGCGTTTGGCCTAAACTTGATCATTCGAGGCCTAAAAACACCCATGCCTCGAGCCGGGTCTGCTTACTTCTTGCGTCTATCTTCTCATTCTGGTCAGAAGCCCTAAAACTGGGGGGCATTTCCTGAACTATGCCATAGTTAACCAAACAGAATCGACATGGTTTACGGGCAGGTCTGTTGAAGATGGCTCTCCCAATCAAGCAGTGGGTTGGTCCTTAGGGCTTTCGGGGATAGGGTGCTGTGGCTTGCTGGTCGTGCAGCTTTTGCAACCGCACTGAGGGCTGAAAGGCAAGTGTGGTCATGGAAGTGCTCGATGTGTGGAACACATGAAATCAAAGTGAAGACACACATGAATGTCTGGATGAGAGAAGGAGGTCCCACTCTAGAGAGCTACCCCCCCTTCTTGCATGAGCCACCTAACCAGCACAACCCGAATCCTGAATCGGAACACTCCGGCTTTGAGCATCTTGAAGTCCTCGGCCCCACCATCGTCCCATACGATCCTGCTTCCGGCGCAGATCGTGGAGCGTAGCAAGGGCAAAGGAAAGGGCAAGGCCGGAAGAGCTCGCAGCAATCTGCTATCTAGGGGGAGCGCCATAGAGTCATAGGGTCGGATCCGGGTCCTTAGCCCCTGTGTGCCCCACGAAGTCCGCAATACCCGAGCACGAGCTTTGGGAGATCTAGCCAGGGCTTCCCCTGAGGTCGAGGCGGTCAGAGTTAACGGTTTGCTGTTTGCATCTTATGGCCCCCGCGGCCTGAGGCATGGCAGTCTAGCCTAGCACGCCATGTGGCACTACGTTGAGTGAACAGCTGTGTGTGAGCTGCCCGGAGTCCCCAACCCGATGCCGATTGATGGGCTGAGATGGCTTCGGGGCATGTAGCTTTCGGCCTGCGGATCAAAGTCACGGATTTTCAGGAAGTCATGTGTGATTTTCAGGAAATCATTTGTGGGTTTCTTTCGTGTGTGAGGAGGATGCATGAGCATGGTCGTGCGTAGAGCGTCTAGACTCAAGATGGGGGACAGGCACAAGCCCAGCAGACTGCGTGAAGCCGAATGTATCCTAAACCCTAAACCCTAAACCTAAACATTCCTAAGCCCTAAGCCCTAAGCCCTAAGCCCTAAGCCCTAAGCCTTAAGCCCTAAGCCCTAAGCCCTAAGCCCTAAGCCCTAAGCCCTAAGCCCTAAGCCCTAAGCCCTAAGCCCTAAGCCCTAAGCCCTAAGCCCTAAACCCTAAACCCTAAACCCTTCTTCACCCTAAACCCCAAAACCGTGAGACTTTGGCAGGGTTGGCCCTGGATGCCGCCCCCGCATTATTTCGCAGCAGCCCCAGCTCGCTTTTACGTGGTGCAGCGTCGCTACCCCCGTTCTCTCTGTGGGGGGAGGGGGGGATTTAGGATTTCGGGTTTTAGAATTTAGGGTTTTGGGGTTTAGGGGTTCAGGTTTAGGGTGTTTGGGTTTTGGGGTATAGAGGGATTGCGTGAGGGTTTTGGGTTACTGGTGGGGTGGGGGTGTCCTAAAGCATTCAGGGCCAAGATCCAAGCCTTTGAGCCTCATTCATGCTTGGGTTCGGCTTATGCTTTCTGACCGCTGGCTAGTTAAGTTAAGCAGACGGGCCCTGGAAGCTTCAACACGATTCCCAGGCCCAGGGCTTAACACAAACACACAGACGCACAGATGCACACACAAAACGTGCACAGAGACACGCAGACAGAGATGCAGACGGATGCAGAGACAGAGACGCAGACACCGACACAAACAGACGAATGGACAGAGAATCACAGAGAGAGAAGGAGAGAGAGAGAGAGAGAGAGAGAGAGGCAGACACGGACAGAGACGGAGGGACGTGCCAAAAGGCACCACATGCAAAAACAATCATGCAGCATTCACCAGGTTCAAGATTCGGATGAGGAAGAGCAGGCACAGTGCGCCCGAAACCTGAAGCCTCTACCCGAGGATGGGCGGCCCCCGATGATGCCGCATCCGTACGGGCCTCCCCCACCGCACCTGCCACTCGGGCAAAGCGATGGGTTTGCATACGCTGCGTCTCCTGGGCGTAAGAGGCCAGGGTTAGAACCGAGCTTTTTGCAAGTGTCGGCTGTCGGCATTCGGGATTTGTTGCATAGAGGCTCCGGCTGGTGAATGGCCTGCGGCTGGCAGGGCTAGAGATTTAGGACTTGGGGGAGCTGACGGCGTGCTAGGGGGGTACCTGCAAATCCGAGAACCGCAAACCACGCGCAGAATGATAAGTGGGTTCGTGATGGCCTTGGTGCCGACATTCAAACATCCTGAGCACACAGCGATCCTCTGAGGCCAAAATGAAGCTCCAACCCACCTCCAAACATCCTAAACCTCAAATCCGACAGGTCACCGACAATCTCAGCAAAACCTTGAGAACCCTGAGACCTCAGCAGCCGCCCGAACTCCTGTTCACACTCCTCACCCCTTCCTCTACTCAAGGATGCACCATCCGCCCATGGGGCCCCCACCAGAGCCGGCGGTGGAGGCCAAAATGCCCCCCAAACTTGAGGGTTGAGGGTTTCGGGTCTAGGGTTTAGGGTTTAGGGAAGCTTCATGAAACCCTTGGAGTCAGAGCCCTGCGTCCTTTATACGCCCTGCAACAACCGAAACCCCAAACCCTGTGCCATCGAGCTCCGCGAAAAATGGGACTCGGACGCGGCGAAGAAGACGTCTAAAGAGTCTAAAACAGCAACGTAACGGTTGATTTTAAGGTGGGTGAAGGATGTCGATGTCACTCGACGCTCGAAGCCTACCCGTGTGTCCCGAGCAGCGTGGACTTTTTTGGCCAGGCCCCGGTGCTTCTAGTGCGCAGAAGGCTGCTTGAGGCGGAGGACCGACTTCTGGGGCTTGCTACAGGGGTCGGAAGAGCTACGAATCGTATTCCCTTATGGTCCCCTTATAGTTGTAATTTCCCCCAATCCCTATATCAGTTATGAAGCCCCCCTATATTAGCCAGGCTCAGGTACATGTTTAGGGGTTTTTGGGCGAAGCGAGTTTCTGATTTGTTTTGAGGATTTTAGAGCATTGGTGTGTTCCAAACTGTTTGTGGGTTTGAGGCTCCAACGCCCAGCTTAGTATTAACCAGCGGTCACAGCGCAGTGTACGTTCGGATCGTGTTGGGTTTGGTCCGCTATTGACGATGAACCCTGCACGAACCCAGATTTTCCAAGTGATTTCGACAGCAAAGATGCCGAAGCAGGGGGACATGCATTGACATGGACACCCAACTTTCCATCTGACGTAAGCAGGCACATCCGGCTGGACAGGTGTGGACGGGCACATGTTCATCTGATTTCGGAGTACACAATCAAGCCAATTCGGTGGGACAGGGATCCCAAATGTTCCTTTTTTGGAGACGCAGAAGCAAACACATGCGGTGCGACAGGCATGGACTTCCGAATTTCCAATCAGCTTTGAATGTGCAGAAGCAACACCTTTGCCGGAACACGGACACCCAAATTTCCTTCTGTCTTTGAGATAGCACAAAAGCGAACAAACTCGGCCGCACCGGCGTGGGCACCCGATTTTCCATCCGTTTCTGAATGCATGGACATGGACACCGCAATGTCCATGTGATTCTGAATGCACGGAAGCAAGCATAGTTGGTGGGACGGGCATGGACCGCCAAGTTTCATTTCGATTTTGAATGCACCGCCACGGGAGTTGTATACGTGCCTGCTGCGCCCAAATTTCCCGCTCCTATTACACGAAGTGGTGAGCCGGACATGGACAGGCAATGTCCATGTGGGGGTTTCCGAAGTTAGGGGTACCTCATTGGCGTCCTTACTATAAGGGAATCCTACTATTTGGGGGTCTATCATAGCATGCTCTTGATGCTCGCCCGGGCTCCTTGATGCCCAGGGGAAGGTTGGCCTGCTGCAGGGGGCCTCCGCAGCGGCCCACCCAAACAGCACACCCAGACAGCGAAAACGCGGCAAAGCGACGCTGCAGAAAAGTCGTTTTCCAACCCTCAAACCGAATCCTGGACCCCCCTTGGACCCTTGGGCTTGAGGTTTGGGGTCTGCAATCTCGAGTTTACGGGCCGCAATGTTTCGAGTTTGTCATGGTTTCTGGCAGCAGGGGCATCCTGCAGGACTGGTGTAAGGGTTCCGGAAAATTCACAATAATTCGCTTGCAGCTAGGTGCGCGCTCTTTTGAGGCTAAACGCTTGCGAAGTTGTGTTTGGGGATCCTTTTCAAGGATCACCGCGAACTGAAGCCCTCCAGACCTCAAACAGAGCATCGAACCTCAATTTCCCCGAGGGCTGAGGAATTTTCCCGGTGGGCCGCAAGCCGTACCATGCAGCTGAGAAGAATGAAAGAACGTCTCTGGAGCTTCACCCTTGCCTCTGAGGACGGCCAACCGCCAGAGCTTAGCAAGGAAAAGGTCATCGAGGCCTCCCCAAACCCTGGAAAAAGTAGAAAGCCTCTCGAAGCCTTCGAAAGCTTTGAGCTTCAAGTCGTAGATCCCCAAGCCTCAAACGTAATCTGCCCCAAAGCCTCAAGTGCCTTTACCAAATGGGCTGTAATCCGGTGTATTGCCTTGCGTCAGTAAGACAGGTTTCTGCCGCTTGCCCGCAAGCCCAGATCTTTCTAGGTCCTAGGTGTGTTTTGGATGAACCCGGACTGAACTGTGAACCGGCATGCTCTGACCACGTAGAAGGCACAGAAATTGAAAGTTCAAAACCTTGAGGTCAGCAGGGTAACGCAGCAGCAGTGTGGTAGAGGCATGGCGATGAGGTCGTTGTAGTAACGTCTCGCTTCTTGCCTTCTTTGCGCTTGCTGTCGTTTGCTTTGGCATCGACATTCGAGGTTGTGAGAAGCCTTCTCCATTGTGCCCTTGACCCCTTGGAGTAGTACTAGTACCTACTAGCTAGCAGCCTCTTGCAATGGGAGAAGACTCCCTGAAAGAAGCTTTTCCTGGAGCCTCTGCAGGCGACGAGCCTTCGGGGGCGCGAGCTGAGATGGCAGGCCGCCTTTTTTTCAGGTTCATTCCTCGAGTGGCCTCCAGGGATCTCCGTGTGCAAAGTCTACGTTTTCAAGTCTGCACGTTCTTTTCTCAGGGTCAGGATCTCCCAGTCCAAGGTTTTTTCTGGGGGTACTTGGAGTCGTGGTTCGTGCAAATATGGGTGTTATGTGATCTAAGCTCCTCTGAAGCCCCCAGAGAAACCCGAGCTGGCCGCATCTTTGGGGCTTCCAAAGCTGCAGACGTTTTGTCGCCCCACAAGTCCCCGAAACCAGATCCAACTCCTGGTTCCTAAGCTTCTGGGCTTAGCCATCAGCCCCAGCTTCGAAGGGTATATCAGGGGGCATATAAGGGCTACCCTTTTACGGGCCCATACTCAGGGACCATGTAGAGATCAGCCCCTGCGCTCAGAAGACCCCCACAAACCTTTGAGACACTCTGCTTGCTGCGCAGCCTTGGCCGGAAGTGAACAAGTTCAATGGTGAGTGGAAGGCGGGCTTCGAAGGGTCCAAGGGTCGTTGCTGGGTTCACTGACTGACTCCTAGGCGGCCCCATGACCAGCAAAAAGCCCTAAACCCTAAACCCGAAACCCTAAACCCCAAACCCTAACCCTAAACCCAAACCCCTAAACCCCAAGCCCTAAACCCTAAAGCCTAAAGCCTAAACCCTAAACCCTAAACCCTAAACCCTAAACCCCTCAGCTGTGCGTCTTTCTCAACGCTGGTGCTGGGTGATGAGTCCTTCAATTGCGGAGGGTTGTGCTCGATCTCTGTGGCACGGTTCGTGCAAGCTTGGAATGATAGCCTTGGGACACCGGGAATGCGTTTTGGAGCTTGGGGCCGACAGGGCCGGAGCATTGGTTTTGGGAGACTATAGGGGGAAACTCCCTAAACCCTGAACCCTGAACCCTAAACCCTAAACCCCTAACAGCAAATTCGTATTTTGAGATGCTTGCTGCCTGCGAAACCCGACCAGGTGACTCCCTTGCGTTGGGGACTTCGCGGTGAGCCAGGAAGCTCAGTGCCAGAGCAAACATGGATATGCCATCTGGAGGTTTACGAAATTGGGGGTCCTTATTGGATTCCTTCTTTTCAGGGGATCCTACATACTACTATTTGGGGTCCTATATTGGGGGTCCCCCATTTTCGTAAACCCCCATATGGGGTTGCAGGGTAAGATTCATGGCTGAACAGCCTCGTCATGGAGGATACGAGAACTAGTGGCTTGGGAAGAGATGCCCTAGGGGTCGAGGAGCTCGAGGGTGAAATGCCCTTTTTCGACTGTTTCCTTTCATTTTGCATATGCCTTACTCAGGGCTCCTGGTGAGGGAGCTGGGAGGGTTTCTTTCTGGATATCGGGCTTAGAATGTCGGATTAGGATCTCGGATTGTTTCAGGCTTAGTATTAAGATTTTTTGTTAGGGCTTTAGAATTCAGGCTTAGATTCAAGGTTCGTGGTTTCGAGGGCTTCGTGCAGAAGAGGGAATGCAGGGGCATTTCAGCTCTGTGGAGGGTTGAAAAGGTTTGCCTGATGGTCCAAAAAAGTTCTTGCGACTAGGCAAGCCCGACGTATCCTTGCCACAAGCAGCTTTGTCCGCTACCCTAAGCCCTAAACCCTAAGCGCTAAGCCCTAAGCGCTAAGCCCTAAGCCCTAAGCCCTGAGCCCTGAGCCCTAAACCTTCAAACACCGATTCTTAGCCAATGTGCCACCCGTTGTGCTGAGGCTTTTTGTTCTCCTGCGCCACCGGGAGTCGGGGGAGACGCGCGTTTGTGCTGCAGAGGCCTGGCAGTGGTTTGGCTTAGGTGTTTGATGTGTAGCAAATTGGGGGTTTCCGAACATAGGGGCACCCTTTTTGGGGTCCCTTTAAGGGTAGTCTCTTCTATTTGGGGTAAAGAAGGGGTACCCATAGAGCCCCCAAGGTTGGGTTGTGCAGGGTTTGCACTTGAGGGTGTTGGGGCTGAGCAGAAGAGTCGGGTTCAGGGTCTAGGTTTTAGGGTTTAGGGTTTCGGGAGGGTTCTTTTCAGGGCCTTGGCCCGCATGGCCATACAAAGCCCAAGGGGAGTGCAGAACCGTAGAACCTCCTAGGCATTTATCGGGCCCATCCCCTGAGATCCTCTTGCGCCCCCCACTCGCAGGATCTCAACCTAGAGCCTCACAGCCCGTGGCAAAACCTGAGTTCGAAACCTCGCAGGTCGGCCATTGGTTGGGTAGGGGTTTCGGACCTTGGGGTCCTCAGCATTTCGAAACAACCCCAACGAATCTATATTTGCCAAACACCCCGCGAATGCCACGCGCCGACAGCATGCTGGGGACTCTAGGACCCAGAGTAGGCCCTCATTCCCTTTCTTAGGTTTAGGTTCCCCTTATCACCCCGCTTTAAGCCGAAAAGGGGGCACCCTGCTTATTCCTGGAATATTCTTGGGTCTCGGACTCCAGCCGCCCCCAAGGTTCAAAGTCCCTTGGACAAGTGGCCAGCTGGGCTCTTACCCGGGTTTTTAGGAAGTTCGGGCTTCGGAGGACTCAGGAAGTTTGGGATTAGGAGGTTTAGGGCTTTGGGCTTAGGGTTCAGGGTTTAGGGCTTAGGGTGTAGGTGCAAGGGCAAAGTCGAAGCAGGGTTCGGTCGAGGTTTGGATGAGTCTGGTCTAGGGCTTCCAGGGCGAGGGTGTCAAAGGTCAATGGAGCGCTCCGAATGTGGGTCACTTCCTAAACCCTACACCCTACACCCTAAACCCTGAACCCTAAACCCTAAACCCTGGATCCCAAACCTGTGGATCAGGGTCACGCACAACACGCAGACACACTGAGACCGACAGACCTAGAGCCAGAGGTGCACCGTAGCAATATGGCAATATGATGGTTTCTGCGTTGGTTGAGGCTGGCCGAGACTGTGCCTGGGGTTCCTCTTAGTCTTCTCTTGGATGTCGATCTCTTCACCACAGATCTGCCCGGACCCATCGGTTCAGCAGTTTGCCATGTTCGCTGACTGGTTCTGGCCAGGACATCAATTCCTAGCAGCGCAAGCAGAATCGACTTGAGATGCCCCGAGCTACCCTTGTCTTGCAGATTCAATGCGCGAAGCCTCTTTTTTACTGCAAAAATATGGGGTCAGCAACGGGGACGAGATGACGTGCCATTTCTGATGGAATGCCGCCCCAGCCGCTTTTTCAAACATCAACACCCGATTGCTCTTCATGGCGTTTGCGTGGACATCCTGGCCCTGAGAGGAGTTGCAGTTGAGGGTTTAGGGTTTAGGGTTTGGGGTTTAGGGTTTAGGGTTTAGGGTTTAGGGTTTATGGTTTAGGGTTCAGCATCTCAGGTCCAAGCATTCACTTGTCAAGAAATTACTCCAGAAAAATACCCACCCGCCCGAAGAATCCCACAACATTATGAAAATATTTCACTTATGGAACGACCTTGCCCAGTAAAAAAAATGACCTTGCCCAGTAAAAACATGACCTTGCCCAATAAAAAAAGGACCTTGCCCAGTAATGACCTTGCCCAGTAAAAAAAATGACCTTGCCCAGTAAAAAAATGACCTTGCCCAGTAAAAAAAGGACCTTGCCCAATAAAAAAAAGACCTTGCCCAGTAATGACCTTGCCCAGTAATGACCTTGCCCAGTAATGACCTTGCCCAGTAAAAAAATGACCTTGCCCAGTAAAAAAATGACCTTGCCCAGTAAAAAAATGACCTTGCCCAGTAAAAAATGACCTTGCCCAGTAAAAAAATGACCTTGCCCAGTAAAAAAATGACCTTGCCCAATAAAAAAATGACCTTGCCCAGTGACCTTGCCCAGTAAAAAAATGACCTTGCCCAGTAAAAAGATGACCTTGCCCAGTAGCATTTTTACTGGGCAAGGTCATTTTTTTAACTGGGCAAGGTCATTTTTTTACTGGGCAAGGTCGTTTTTTGGGACGAAACGACCTTGCCCAGTAAAAAAATGACCTTGCCCAGTAAAAAAATGACCTTGCCCAGTAACTCCTTAACATTTAAATTATATATGAAAGAGAGGTTTAGGGTTTAGGGTTTAGGGTTTAGGGTTTAGGGTTTAGGGTTTAGGGTTTAGGGTTTAGGGTTTAGGGTTTAGGGTTGAGGCAGCTAATGCCCAAAGCACGCGTGCTCGTCATCCCTCGTGGAAAGCAAGCGATGGATCACTTCAGGGATACACTGCGGGAATCTTTAGAGTAGGCAGCAACCCCGAACTGGGGAAACAACCCTCTCCAAACAGGTCCGAAGTCTTGTCTTGATGTCCAGCTTCCTGGACATGGGATCATGATGTTGAGATTGTCAGAAGAGGACTGATTGTGAGGCCCTTCAACTGCAAGAAGTGCAGGCTTTCCTAAAAATAGAAGCCGTAAATCCCGTGAATCCCGAGGGCCCCATCCCTCAATGCACCCAACAAGGTCCTCCACACGAACGCGACCTCCTCGTCACAGCCATCTGCAAGGCTTCAGAGGGTCACGAAGGGCGGGGCTTCAGGGCTTCAGGGTTTCCCAAAGTTCGTCTCCAAAACGTGCTGTGCAGTCGGAGTTGGGGTCTTGGTGCGCCTGTTGTAGCAGTCTGGCTTCAGAGCTGAAGCCCTAAGGCCCTAAACTCCTAAACCCTAAACCAAGTTGAAGCTTGAACCACAATCGTGGGCTCAAGCCTCACTTCCATTCCCAGCTGCAGGTTCGGACTTGGAGCTTGGTTTAGGGTTTAGGGTTTCGGTAGTCGGCGGGGATTGCGGGATGGGGGCAGAGATTTCGGGTCTGTTTGTCCACCAAGTGTACTGTGTGGTTGCATTCGAGTTCAAGGTGCTTGTAGGCTTGGTGCTGTCCTTGGAGCATGAGAGATGCCCACTTTGGGGGGTCTAAGACCTCAGCAAATCCTCCACCTTTGACCCTTTGGTTTAGGGTTTCGGGGGTTGGGGTTTTGGGTTTGGGGTTTAGCGATCCCGGTTCCTTAGAGCCCACGTGGGAACTTGTTGTTGGGAGCCCAATAGTCTCCTTCCTTTCAGCAACAACCGAGCCAAAGCCCCAAGCAGGTACAAATCTTTCACCTTCAACGAGCATCTCTTTGTGATCTCCATCGACAGGGAGTCGGGCACGCTGAAGGCACGCAGTAGCTCTTGTTTCTACAGACCTCATCTTTTGCTGTTTGGGACGATCAAGGATCATGGACAGTGTTGCGCTTATAAGGATCGCGTCAGATGGGCTTCGGTCTAGGGGTTGGAGCGCTCGAGGGTCAAGACGAGAAGGCCTTGCATGGGCTCATGCCACAGTCCGGGCAGGGTTTAGGGTTTAGGGTTTAGGGTTTAGGGTTTAGGGTTTAGGGTTTAGGGTTTAGGGTTTAGGGTTTAGGGTTTAGGGTTTAGGGTTTAGGGTTTAGGGTTTAGGGTTTAGGGTTTAGGGTTTAGGGTTTAGGGTTTAGGGCGTGTTTGTGTGTTAAAGTCTCGAAACCTTCATGCACCCCGCAAGAGGTCTTTGCTATGTTTTGAGACGCAGCGGCTTCCTGCAAGTGCTGCATGCTGCGTGCTTTTATTTTATTTTCGATTGGGAGTGGCCCCACGCATCCTGAGCATGCCTTGAGCTACCTTTTTGAGAAGTTTTAACACAAAAAGCCCAAGTTTGACAAGCTAGTTAACTCGTGTTTCCTCGGTTTGCTGGAACTTGCTGAGAACCTCCCAGTTAGCCTTGTATTCAACAGCCATGCTCTGAAACTTGAGTCCGGAGCATCAGCGAGTCAACGAGGAGAGTTTTCGGACACGTCGGGGAGTTCGTTTGAGACACAATACAAGGAGAGCCCAACACCCTACATGCTATTTATTCTCCAAGCATTCCAACTTTCCATGAACATGATGAACTCCGTAAACTCGACAGCCCGGGCACAGGTTTTCCATGTGCCGGACCCCTCCTCCTCGTGGAACGTCGCCTTTGAGACCACGCTCCCGGAAGATCCGAGTGAGTGCCAGGCCAGCTTGGCTTGCGGAGGGCTTAAGGCTGTAAAGGCTGTAAGTTGGTTTTTTTGACGGATTTTGGGGGCATGAAGGTAACGGGATCAATCGGTGTAGCTTTCAGATTTATGTTGCGAACCCTGTAAACTCCATAAACCCCAAGCAGTGTGTGGAATTCTGCTCTTGGTTCCAGCTTTGGCCTGGGGCTGTTCAGCGAGGCCTCTCTGAGTTGAAGGGGCGTTAGGGTCTAAGCCTCAGTCTGCGGGGTTTGCGCCTGTGGCCCAAAGCAAGAACAACTAATCCCGGGGTCGGAATAATTACTAATGGTAGTGCCTTATGGTCCCTTTGTTATACAACAGTAATCCCCCAAACCCTATTCTATTTATCAATGGCCCCTGTATTACGCAGAGGCGCTCTTGCATGACCTTCTTGATCTCAAACGATACTGGGGATGGTTCTTCGTGCCTTAGCGGTGGGCGAAAGCATCTTCCATTTCTAGATTCTAGTCTTCACCAGAAGCTAAATGCTCTTCATCCTCAGATACCCTAAACCCTAAACCCTAAAAAAACCCCTGAAGCTGAATGCTCTTCATCCTCACCCAAACGGCAGATGAAATCGCACCGTCGCAAGGACTTTCCACTTAGTCGACGTGCAAAGCTCTGCATTTTCTACGCCATGGTCGTGGCCTTACCTTACTGTTGGTTAGTAGGGAATGACGGAGTGGGGTACCCTGTATCATCCCTTAAAGGGAATGTATAGGGGGATATAGGGTACCTCCTTCCCTCCTTCCCTACTAACCAGCAGTAAGTTACATGAGAATCTAGGGGGATCTGAGTGTGATGGGTTTTGCGGGTGCCTCAGAGCGATGGCCGTGTGCGTGGCGGTTTTTGCGCGGTAGCTTGGTGTTAATCGGGTGCCAGAGGTTTCGGTGCTTTTTGCTCATGCTGGGGGGGGGGGGGGGGTTCCGCGTTAAGAGGGTGGCAGGCAGCTGGCGCTCTGCTGCGAACGACGCTCGCTTGGTGTGTTGATGCTCACGATGTCGGCCGCAAACATTACAGTCGAAAGTCGTGGGGAGTCATGTCAGTTGTCCCTTTTGAATAGACATGATGTTTGTTGAGCGAACCCCAAGCCCGTACATGTCATAGGGTCGAGCAGGAATGTGCAAGATCCTATTCTGGACAGGATCTCATGTACTTAGCAGAGGAGGAGCAAGTTCTGCCAATGGAGCCATAGCTAAAGAGCTCCGGATTTAGGAACTCCGCGTTGCCTTGCAAAATGCTCGGTATAAGGATCGTACTCCGTACGTTGTGGCTGTGGAGCGCGGAACCCAGGATGGTACTGACAGCCAATTGGGGTCGAGGCCAAGCAAAGAATACAGATCGGATAATTTACGCCAACCTTTCACCGAAGTCGAGACAGGGCCCGAATGGCTAAGCGTGCTTTCTGAAACTCCAATTAGCCTACGACGGGAGCAAAATTGAGACTACCAACTTCCGAGGCCCAATGCGGAGGAGGGCGATCGGATAGCCTCGGTTTTCCGGATTGCGGACCCGGCGAAAGCCTGGACGTGTGGACCTCCGTTTCCACTGCAGAGTTCCGGTTCAAGATGTTCAGTTGTGTTCAGGGCAAGTTCTCCAAAGGGTGGAGGTCACGCATGAGTTCGCTGTAGCAGACAGCATGTTGATTTAACGTCCATCGGTTCTCGGCATTCTATCTTTCGTAAGAACCCCTAAGTCCCAAACCCTAAACCCTAAACCCTAAACCCTAAGCCCCAAACCCCAAACCCTAAACCCTAAACCCCAAACCCTAAATCGACACAAGACCACTCCGGCAAAAGCCGTCCCGCGGCTTGCGTGTGTAGTGCACCTCCGAGGCTTTGTGCTGAACGCCCGGCGCTGCCACCCAAGGCCAGACCCTAAGATCTGGGAAGGGCTTTACTGTTTGTCTGGGTTTAGGGTCTAGGGTTAGGGTTGAGGGTCTAGGGTTTAGGGTTGAGGGTTAGTAGGGTTTAGGGTGTAGGGTTTAGGGTGTGAAGTTGACCTGTCCACCCTTCTCGTGCTTTCTGTCTGCTTCTGCTCCAGGGAAATGCAGCATGGCCATAATTTCTATACAACGCGCCAGAAAAAGTAATCTGCAAAGGACGGCTCTTATGCAGCAAACCAGAAGATTTTGGACTTTGGAGACTTTTTGTCTGCAATGAGTCCGAGTCGGACGCACAGCGAGCATGCGAATTCAAAAGGAAGAACGAGCCTGCAGATGAAAGACCACAGCACATTGCACTTTCTGACACGGAGGTAAGACGCCATATTCGTATGGAACGTGGAAATTAGTGCCAACGTTCAATCCCCTGTCCAACAGCAAACGCTCCAGCAAAGCGCAGCCCAAGCTGAAGCTGGCGCACTTCCTTTGCCAGCATTGCATCCACCGAGTCCATGACGCTTGGTGAAGTTGCCCCAGCAAAGGGGCAACCCAAGCCAGATCTTGACCCGTTGCTGCAAGCCTTGCATACACCGAATGAATGAGGGCTCTACACCCCACATCCGGATCAGGGCTTGTTGTAAAGATTTAGAGGTAGCCCGACAACTGAAACAATGTAGCCCATTACTTCTTCCAATTCTCCAATTGTCAAGGTGCGGCTCCTCATGGTGTACACCAAATCAAGGTCGCCGAACCCCACAGAATTTGAGGTGCCCTGGCCTGATGGAGGGCTCTGTATCTTGTTCGGTCGAGTCTGAATCCCTCCCGCAACACATGGCTAAGGGTCTAGAAACGTAAGCCTTTCCAGCTGCTGAGGGTTTGCCGGGTGTAGACGTTTAAGGGGAGGAGGCAGTGGAGAAGCTGTGAGCCCTTTCCCTGTGTGGTACAAGCATGTCGACTGATTCCCTCACCCGAACGACCCTGACCGGAACCATCAAGCCAACAAACCCTCAGAACAGAAATATCCACAGCCTGGGCGATTCAGGCGATCATGTCTTGGTTGTGTCGAAACCTTCAGGCTTTGGAACGGTGCTGAAGTAAAGCCCTCCAACAAAGGCTTTCAGGCCGAAATCCGAAAACCATCGCAAGCATCCGTGAAACCAGGCGTCACTTTTCGCAATTGACGCAGATGCCGGAGAGATGAAGGTCTTCCAGGCTGCGCACCCCCGGTGTTGGGATGTTAAGGCCTTGGAGGCAAGCAACTTAGCCACTTCTTGAAGGCCTCTCAGTTCCTATCCCAAGAGCCCAACAACACTCCAAGCCTCACACCCATACTCCCTCCGGAGGCATGACCCCTTTGAGCTGAACCCTAAACCCTAACATGCCAGGTTCCCTCCGACATGGACAAACCTTGGAAACTGGCCGGGGCAGCTGTGTGTGGAGTTCAGGGCCCCTTTGGTTTTTAAGTTCGAGGGATTCGGGGCACTGAGGTGTAAGGTCGGTGTCATATTGCGGAGGTTCAGGATTGCTGAGTTTGGGCTCCGCCTTAGGCGCTTCCCACTGCAGAAAGCCTGAAGTCCCAAATTGGAAAGGGTTGTGGAGGGTGGAGGTCGTCAAGCTGGTACAGGGGGCGAGGACAGGGGCTGAATCACGCTGCCCTCGCCAAGAAAGATGTGAGGCATTGAGGCATCTCCAATCTAACCCGCCACAAGATCCATAGCTAACGTAGTTTCAAATTTCTTTCGATGAAATTCACCAAAAAACTTTCAGAGCGGAAATTCAACATCCGAGTTAGATAGTTAGATATGCGATTTTCGCGAGTCATGCGCGAAGGCTAAGAAGCGTGCGCGGCCACCGATTGGATTCAACCCTCAGACTCCAGATTCCCAATTCCAAGAATGGCCGCTCAGATTTCAACGCTGCCATTTGCGGGCGATACACGTGCGGATCCCGGTGTTCAGTCGGAGAGCAGGTTTTGTGTGCCAGTCTGTGGGGTCGGGATGGGATGGGGGGGCGTTGATTTCTTGTCGGGGTTTAGTCACTGTCTTGGGCTGTGGGCCTTGTTGAGTTTGGGTCCGCCTCAAGTTTTGGGATTGAGGCGTGCCGAGGCAACCCCAATTCGCGTTCAAAAGGCCTACATTGACCGACAAGCTCATCGAAGCTCCCGAGCTTTAACACAACGAAGCTGAACTTGAGCATTCTGGAAGTCCCTTCAAGCGTAGCCCCGAGATTTTCACATCGGACGTAGGCCTCAGTTGCATCTACGTGCCGGGCAAGCCTGAGCCACTGCTCATGGCCATGGGCTCAGCCGAGGATGCTTACAGCTCTTTTGGGGTTTATGGTTTAGGGTTCCGGGTTTTGGGTTCCGGGTTTAGGGTTTAGGGTTTAGGGCTCAGGCTTTATGTTGTTCAGTGATGTTCAGTGATGTTCAGGCTTCGGAGAGGAGGAAGGGGCCCAGGGGGCCTAACGGGTTAACATGGTGCCCTAAAACAGTTACTTAGAACCCAGGAATTGAGAAGCAGGATTAATTCCTCGTTGGCACATCGTAACAGTCCCAGCATGAGTCAGACAACTGACACAACCCTTGCCCACTTTGAGGGCAGAAGTACCACGGCCTTCTAACAGACTGGCTTCCATTACAAGGCCATCGAAACGCCGAAAGCCTGGGCGGATTCTGAACCGAAAACGCTAACTTGAAAGCACCCGCACTTCTTGAGCAGCCTTGTGGTCGAGCTTTGAAACCCCCCCCTGGAGGGCAAGACAGCTTACGGGGCCTAAGGGAGTACACTTAGAGCTTCACTTTACGCCTGGAAGCCACAAAACGGTCAAACATCCCGCACGACATGTAGCAGCCCCTCAGTCCTACACCGCAGGCGTCAGATCAGATTCCTAAAGGGCCCGACGCTGAAACCCCAGCACAGCCGTGACCCAACCCTAAGAGCAACTAGCGCAGTGGATGGGACCGCCAGCCCTCCTTTCCGAGTGCCCGAAGTAAGCAAAGCCCGCGAGGCCGGTAGCCCCACAGAGAAGATGCAGAAGCTCTGCCACCTGAACCTTATGGAGTGGCGAATGTCCAAGCAGGACCCGGAGAGGGCCTGTTTTCTGATAAAGAACGAGAGGGAAGTAAAGGTTCTCGTATTCCAGCAGGGAATCAAAGCTTGTCGATTTACATGCAGGGGAACCAAAGGTTTCTTAGAGGATTGAAGGTTTTCTTCTTCAAGAATAGAAAATTTCAGGTCTTCCATGAATATGTGGAAGAACTGGAAGCTTCCCCAGTAGTTCGAGGCACATAGGAAGTGTCGCTTGCCCCATGGAAACGAGGCATTAAAGGTTTCCTGTGATAATGCTAGGGAGCCAACCCCACACCACTCCCCCAACGCTACAGTACCCCAAAAGGTGTCTCTGTCTGTCTCTGGCTCTCTCTCTCTCTCTCCTCTCTCTCTCTCCTCTCTCTCTCTCCTCTCTCTCTCTCTCTCTTACGGAAGGCTTCCCTTCCAGGCGTCATTCGGGATTACTGGGTTTGGTTAAGATGTGGTGGCTTTTCTCTCCTAGAATAGAGTGGATCTTCATGAACTAGACTCGACTGGATCATCATCAAATAGTATTTCAGACCAATACCAGGTCCAAATCTAATCGTTGACCCAGCATAACTTGAGTACTCTGCATTTGGTCTTGTAACCAAATATTCTCACAACGCAGTCTCTTGGTCGGCATGCGGATCAGCTTGTTTTAGGATCAAAAACAATTATTTACGATCACAAAATAATGTATTTAGGATCAGAAATAATGATTCTGTTCTTCCGACGGAGACAGCGTGGGGGAGGGAGAGGAGGGAGGGAGGGAAGGAAGGAAGGGCGGAAGGGCGGAAGGACGGAAGGAAGGAAGCAAGGAAGCAAGGAAGCAAGGAAGCAAGGAAGCAAGGAAGCAAGGAAGCAAGGAAGCAAGGAAGCAAGGAAGCAAGGAAGCAAGGAAGCAAGGAAGCAAGGAAGCAAGGAAGGCAGGAAGGAAGGAAGGAAGGAAGAAATCAAGAAAGAAAGAAAAACGAGGAAGCAACAAAAGGAAAAATTCAAGGAAGAAGTCGTGCCAGCTTGCTTCAAAGCACACGCATCTTATCGAAACCCATTATGCGAGCAATGTGTTTGGCAAAAGGGTTGGGGGGCTGCGCCCCCCCCCCCCCCCCCCAACAACCCCCCGCTGTTTTTAAGTTGTGGCAGCTTGCTTCAAAGCATACGCATCTTTTCGAAGCCTCTGATGCGAGCATTGTGTTTGCAAATGGGGGGGGGGGGCTGCATAAATGCTGTAATTTTTCATGTAGGGTAACATTTCTGTCACAATTCGTCTCCCCTGCCTCCGCACTGCTTGCAGCAAGCCTTCGAAGCCTTCAGTAAATTATTTTTTGATCCCAAATAAGCTTTCTGATCCGCCGATAAATAATTTGTTTGATCCCAAATATTTTTTTTGTTGATCCCCTACCCCTCTTTATCACGCAACGCAATAGGGCCTCCAGCCACGGTCCTTGCCATTCATCTAAGTGTAGTTATATTGGCCCAGAATATGGTCCCTCACCTCCTTTAAAGGGTTCTGAAGTATGGGCGTTTGGGTTGTATAGGGTTTGTAAGTACCCTAAGAATTCGACCAGCAAACTGCTCTAGACCCCAATCCTCCGCAACCTCCCTCACAATCCTCCTGTCCACCTGGAGGATGAGAGATTGCCGCCGCCCAAGGTGCACCGGGTGCTTCGGGTCAGGTGACAGGTCTTCGGGCCGTTTGTCTCTGAGAGGTTTGAGGGGTCAAGAGGGTTACGTGTTTTAGGGCTTATGGCTCAGGATTTTCGAGGCTTTCGGGTTTGTTGTGAGATTTGGTGCTTCTTGATCTTCGTGGCTGACCTTGCTGGACCGCTTGCTCCTTCCTAGGTTTCCTAAGGAGCCTTGTTTGACGTTCAATTCTTTAAGGTGTGTCCTACTTTCACGTGGTTGCCGTTCTTGGCTGCTCTTCTTCGCTTTGCCGGTGGCCCTTTTTGCCGGCTGCTGGGCTTCGCTCTGCGCCTTTTTGGCCTCTGCCTCCAGCTTCGTTTGTGGCTTTTGGGGGCTGCTGGATGCGTCGCGAGATCTTATGAAGGACCCCTTTTTAAATAAACGTCAGAACTCTGGAGAGCGTGGAGACTCTCTGTAGTCCATCAAGAGGGGTACCACACAAGAAGAGGAAGAGGAAGAAGAAGAAGAAGAAGAAAATGCCGCGTTTCCCAAATCATGTGGGCGCTGAGTTGAGCGCCCGAAGACTTCAGGTCCCCTGAAATGTCAAAGAACCTCATGCTTTGGGATGTCCCCCCTACACTAGCAGTCCTTAATAGGGATTCTAGTACCCCTTATATTATAATCCCTATCAAGGGCTGTTAGTACAAGGGGGAACATCCCACCTCATGCCGCCGATCACAGGCGCCGGTCGTGGAGGAGAAGTTCAGTCGGCCAATGTCCTCGCTCTGGCCCCTCTCTCGGTGTGTTAGCAGTGCGCTGAATTCCAGCGCAACCGACGGTTTCTGCGCTGCATAAAGCTTCATCGAAGGCCATCGCCCCTATTACCAAGCAACAATGACGCTTAAGCGGTTCTTCATAGTCGTACTACAGTCCTACAGATCCAAGAGCTTTTCCAGATTTATGCCCCGAAATTGGAAAGACTTTGATGTTTTTCGTTAATGTTATAAATTGCTCTCGAACTTTACCTGGAAGACAAAGTCTATATACTATCGAAGCGTCATCAAATGCCTGGAATACGGTTGATACTGTCTGCACAGTCTACCCATTCATTTGTTCATTTGGGTAAATACTACCTTGAAGATACGAGCACCAAAATGCATAAAACGCCGGCTTCTCAGCACTAACACAGAATTAGATTTTGATTTAAAGTTGATGCCGTCTCGGAAGTCATACACTGATGTGTACATGACCCTTGTCGGTTTACCTCAAAGACAAAGTCCGCACAGTTTCAACGTCAGTTCCTCCTTCTGCAAGCATGTCAGCTTAAAGGTACACTGTAACAATATGGAGCAGCCTGGCTGCGGGAATGCCAGAAACATTTAGAACTTATAAAACCCGGGTGTGATACACACGCTTTATGAGCTGCAGAACTGCTACCTTTTAAAGGGGGCTTTTTGATAAGTGGCAACCCATAATACGAGCATTGTGTGCGCAAATGGGTCCCATTAAGCCTTAAAACATAGACCCTTAGACCCTAGACCCTAAACCCTAAGCTGCAAGCTCGCCTTAGAAGGAGAGGACTTGCATTCGAAGCCATGTGTCTGCAAATGGGGCGTCGTGCCCCAGCCACCCTGAGGAAGATCGTGCCATGAAGAGAGCTCGCGGTTGAACGTATGAATCCTTTGTAGGCTCGTCGTGCGCGCAATGTGTTGAACATATCAACAATGAGCCTATCTTCATCCCTTCATTTGGGCCAGATCTAGTTTGGGGTATCTTTATTAGGCGAAAAAACGTTTTTATCAAAACCGAGTTCGTCGAATTCGGCCCGCTGTATTTCCCTCCGCCCCATCCCTCCCCCCATCCCTCCCCATCCCTCCCCCGCATCCCTCCCCCCCACACATGTCTGTCTCCTAGTCCTACCTACATGTACCGCCGCTCTAACTCGAGTTATTTCTCAAAGCAAGGGTACCCCTTTCATACCCCAAACAGAATAGAATCCCCGTAGTAGAATCCCCTTTAAAGGGACCCCCAAAAAGGGTACCCTATTGGAACTCCCATATTCGTCCGCGCAGCAGAGGCCCGAGGGCAAGGATGGGCGAGACCCGCAGACAGCTTGCGGCTTAGTCCGGGCGGCTTCAGCGACTTCTTTCAGGGGCCAGGCCCTGTTTCTCGTGCCGGATAAGGGGTCAGGGTTTAGGGTTTAGGGTTTGGGGTTTGGGGTTTGGGGTTTAGCTGCCTGGTACTTCAAACAGCAGCCCTGAGGTCGTGGCGCTGCCCATCGACTGCACTGCCGACCTCGCGGTGAGTCGGCATACCTGGGTGACGATGCCCGTGGGGGATCCAAGAGAGTGGGCTCTGAGCCTCAGGGTTTAGGGCTTAGGGTTTAGGGTTTAGGGTTTAGGGTTTAGGGTTTAGTGTATCGGCATGAGATCTGTCAAGCTTTGCAGCTTCGAGTACGTCCTGTTTGGATCCAGCTTTGCTGCGGGTGTGCAGAGCCCTTTGCGGCCTTGGATTTCTTGAGGAAGCTTTGGAACTTTCTTCCTGGTGCAGGAGGGCGTTCCATGCTTGTGAGGGGGTGCTTCAGCCGCCCGAAGCAAATCCTTCAACTTGGGAGTTTCGGGTTGAGGGGGCTTTGGTTCGTGCCCGGGCTCAACTCCAAGATCACGGCTTCTTGTATTCAGACTAAGTGTAAAAGTTTTACCGCAGGGTCTGTTTTCCGTACGTAAGGCTTCCCATGTTACTTGGTTGTGTGTTCCGGGACGAGGGTTTTCACCTGTTCGCGTTCTCAGGGCATTGCAGAATTTGTCGGCGAGGCTGATGGTGGAAGAGGTTCATTTGGATGGAAAGTCCATAAAATCCTACAACATGGAGCCCTGCCAAAGACTACCACAACCACACCTTGTAGATTTGAGATAAGGTGAACCCCCCTTGCCATTTTAAACTCTTGTTTCCTACACACCCCTGAGCTACCCGACCTAAAGGCACGCCCCACGACCCTTCGGGCTTTAGTTTGCAGAGGTTACCTAGCAGCATGGCCGGAGGGCTTCGCTTTCGCTTGCTGCTTTTGGCTCCGGCACCGCGGAAACCAGGGTAAGACCCGGCATCTCAAGTGCTCTGAATTCTGCGCCCCCGGGACCGCCGAGACTTTCGCCGTCGCCTCAGGACCCCGGGGAGTTTTCGGAGGTTCCATGTTGTTTGGCTGGGATTTCATGTTGGAGGCGTTACTCGCCGGCGGTCGTAATCAAAGCATACCGCATGCACATTTCAACCGCCACAGAAGAAGCTGGGTGACGTTCCCGAAGCTTATGCTTATTCAGCTTATTTAGCCACTTCCTCTGATTCCCAAGAGCCCTCAATCTAAACCGGCACGGTGCGTGTATCCTGCATGCACCTTGCATGCGCGCGCCTCGCTCACCCAGCTGTCAGCGCCGCTGTGCCATGAACCCGCATTTCAAACGTTGGGGTTCGGGCCCGTCCGCATCCCGCTCCGCTGAGGCCATGGCAACTGCAAGGTCAGGTGCTGACTGGGGGGATCTCGGGAGTGTTCTGTGAGTGTTGCTGGCTGGAGGGTCAAGGTCAGTAATGGTCCTAAGACCTCAACTTAAACCCTGAACCCTCGACTTCACATGGCAGGTAGAAGCAGAGTAGAGAGTAGTGAGGCAACCCTTCGCAAGGAAGATTCCAGAAAATCTTGGAAATGCCAAAGAGCAAGGTTTAGGGTTTAGGGTTTAGGGTTTGGGGTTTACGGTTTAGGGTTTACGGTTTAGGGTTTACGGTTTAGGGTTTTATGCTTAGGGCTTAGGTTTTGCGGGGTCATGGAGTTCATCTCGGACTTGGGGGGTTGGAGTTTAAGTCCGGCTTGTCGGGCAAACGCCCGACCTGGTCAAATTATGGGTTTTGGGTTTTAGGGCTGTAGCGCTTTAGGATGTGGGATTTAGGCTTCAGTTTTTAGGTTTCGGGGTTTACAAGTTTCGGGTTTGGATTAGGGTTTAGAGGTGGGGGACGGATGCTAAGGGACGGGGAGGGTGTAATTGCTCTACTCGACTCCAAAAGAGATATGTTTGAAATGTGGAGTGCTCCTGCATGATGCGTACTGAAACTTAACGCGTCCCAGGCCTGTTGTGTCCGTCTTCAACTACGAAGACCCTTCGAAGAAGGCCGAAGAGGGTGACACTCGTAGGTCGTTGAGCCTGAGACCCAGAACTTAAGCACTGGATGCCACCGATGCCCCAAACCCCACACCCCGAACCCCAAACCCCAAACCCCCTAATAACAAAACGAACCTACTTAGGGTTTGTCATTTTTTCTTATATGTTATACGACATATTTTTTCATTGTACATTATCTATTATGCAGTACGTGATCACTTGGACTGAAGGATGTTGCAGGATCGAAGGTTCGGAACTTTGGCTGTGGGGGCTCTGCATTCTGCAAATCTCGGGATGCTTGCGCTCTGGGCTTCAGATGTTTTGGGGATACAGTAAACCCCAAAAAGTTGGAAACCTTTTTAAGGAAGAATAGTGCTGGGATTCCCCATACTTTACTCTTAGAGATTGAGGCTATTGAGTTTCAAACTTTTTGGCTTCTACTGTAGGGCTTCGTCTGCTGGACCATTTGAGAATTTCAGCCCTTTTGAGTGTTCGGTTGGGTTTTGAAGCGACATGGGCGCCTTGACCTTCTCTGCTTGAACTGCAGCACGCTCGGTGGAGGTTGCAGGGTTTTGGGCGCTGTGGAGTCTCTCTTGGTCTTGCGAAGGTCAGCGTAGGAGACACCAGCGTAAACGGATTCAGCCAAACAAATCAGCGATCGATGCGCAAAGGGGCAGGGATGCGTCCTATCACTCCGAAGCTGAGTCAGCACTCAAAACCAAAAGGCTGAGTTTTTGTTTGGCAGCGAAGGCTTGGAGGCTTAGGGTGCTTAAGTTCGTGCTCGAGGTTTAGCACAGGTTTGATGTGGCATGTGCAGCCGAGTATCTCCCAAGATGCCTCAGAGCTTACTCCTCAATCCCTCCACCCCTCTCAGCCCAAAACTTCTCTTTGCGGAAGATGAAGGCAATCCTAGGCGCTGTGACGGGTTGTGGCTTGTTTGCTGCCGCGTGGCCGAAGCCCCCAGTGACAGGAGGGAACCGTCGTGATGCCCCACGTGCTGACGCTTGTCCTGCTGATCCTTCTGGGGATGGCTTGGTTGGGATGTTGAGACTGTGGCAGCTAGACTTTGAGGCTTGTCGCCCCCCAGCGCACATCGCCAGCTCAGGACATCTCCTTTGCGACCTGACTTGGTGCGCGAGGCTGGGGCTTCCCCATAGGCCAAAACGCTACAGAGGGTTTTTGGGTGTAGGGAAACTCGGCCCAAGTCCTCGAAGTCGGGAGTGGCGGTTCCTTGTTGGGGGGAGTTGCTGAAGGGCGCAGTCAAGTGTCTGATCTGGGGAAGGGGCTTTTAGGGGGTCGAAGAGGGTTCAATGAAGTTTGAAGCTGCGCTAAACACGGACAGGCCTTGCTTCAGGGGCCCTACTCGGCCCAAAAATGTGTAGTTGAAAGGGGTCTGATTGTCGTCTTCCTGTGCCACTATCTTGTGTTGTAGTGTTGCTGCTCAGTGGGCAGCTACTCAACTGCCAGGTCCACCGAGACATGGCAAAGAACAAGCGCCAGGCTTACGCCGTCAGCGCAAAGGCCGGCGTCGGTTGCTGTAAAGGCGCTTGTGGGACGATTTAAACCTGAACTCCTAGAGCCCAGAAGACGGGACGTTTCCGATCTTTGGCCTTGAGCACTCCGAAGCCCTCATAAAATCTCAAGGGCTTGGGAACTTGAGACTAGAGGGGGGGGGGTGGAAGATTTTCGGGCTCTCGGGTGGTTCTTGGGACCTAACAAACCCAAAGTGACCTTAAGCCCCCCCAGTACAGAGCTAAACCCTAAACCGTAAACTAAACCTTAAACCCTAAACCCTAAACCCTAAACCCGAAACCCTAAACCCTAAACCCTAAACCCTAAACTCTAAACCCTCAACCCTAAACCCTAAACCCGACGCGGGGCGCGCTGACAGGCGGGCTACGACACCGCCGCCGAGTCCTGGTGCACCGGCCGCGCTGTTGCGCGTGGCTCGGCAGGGAGAGAGAATCCCCTCCCCCTAATAATAAATACCCCCCCCATTATATTCATGTTATAGTATATTGGGGGTTTTTAATATTAGAGGGTAGGGGTGGTTTGACATTAGGGGAGGGGATTAGCTTGGATTGAGGGGCATCGGGGATGCCGTACGGTAGCAGGGCGGGGGCAAGAGGAGGAGTTTCTCGAGCCTCTGAGGTATCCCCCGCGCTCCCGGTGGCGGCACCCACCGCGCCGGTCAGGCAGCTTTTGGCAACCAGGCGCCGAAACTGCCGGAGAATTCTGCCTCTGTTGTGGGTGTCTGTGTCTGTGTCCGTGTCCGCGTCTGTGTCTGTGTCGGTGTCTGTGTGCTCTTTCGGTGTTTTTCGGAACGGCATGCATGCAAGACCTGCAGCCTTCAGAAGGATATCAGATGCCTTACCAAGCCTTCATCAAGGTGGCCAGGTGATTGACGATGATCACATGTTTAGGGTTCAGGGTTTAGGGTCTCATCCTCTTGCTGGCTTTGCCAGTTGCCCTTGGAGATGGAGAGCTGCTGACACCAACACCAGCACCGGTGCCAGCTGTTTCGGTAGCCAGCAACATTACAAGCGAAGTGATTGATTGCAATCCTGCTGATGGCTATCGTTACCTGACCTTTGGGAACGGCGGTTTGGGGTGAGAATGAGTATATTCAGATTGCGAGCGCATTCGCAACCACAGGCGACATTGGGAGCGACCATGATGCCAGCAACGCAATTGATGATCATGCTCTTACTTTCGTTGCAGGCGGTCATGGCATGAGCTGTGAATGCCGGGACTCTTCCATGAAAGATGGACAACTTACGATGGATCTTGGCTCCAAGACGAAGGTCTCCCGCATGGTGGTGGTGCAATATAGCGGGAACAACGATTATTCGGTCTCCAAGATCCGCATCCATTGTTCGGACGATGAGAGCAACATCCTGCAATCTCATCCTTTGCCACTTGCTATCTCGCCCGGTACAACAAGGATTTCGTGCAGTTCTGCAGAAGGATGCGCTGTAAAGAGTATGCACCCTCCATACATCCACACATGCGATCATGCGCTGGCATTTCTCATGGCGATGGCTTTGCTGGGATTTACTCTCATCCACTAGGTTGCCGGCAGGCTGATGAGAGCTGAGCAGCCGGTGCTGATCTGGAGCCAACCAATCTTCATCACACCCTTCATCACACCATTGGCCTCCGGAGAGGTCGTTGCCCGCCGCG